TGTGATTCAATCTCTTCTATCCAACCTAAATCAATATATGAGTTTGGGTGTATTTATTCCTTAATGTTTATTTAAATATAATGTTACCCTTGAAGCATCCAGTATACAGTGGTACCTCAGTTCACGAACTTAATTGGCTCCACGATTCTGGTCGAGAACCGAGTTGGTCGCGAACTGAATCACATTTTCCCATAGGGTCCAATGTAAATCAGGTTAATCCGTTCTGACCCCTAAGAACGTGGTCGCGAACCGATTTTTGGTCGCCGACAGAATCACATTTTCTCATAGGGTTCAATATAAATTAGGTTAATCCGTTCTGAACCATATGAAAAAAACAAATACTTGTTACCTTCATTATTGCGCTGCATTTTATTTTTACCACCATTCTTGCTCTGCACATTCTTGTCACCTTCATTAACGCTCTGCACATTCTTGTCACCTTCATTAACGCTCTGCACATTCTTGTCACCTTCATTAAAGCTTTGCACATTCTTGTCACCTTCATTAACGCTCTGCACGTTCTTATCACCTTCATTAATGCTCAGCGCTTTCTTTTTCCCACCATGTTTGCTCTGCACTTTCTTGGGAGCCGTGCTGGATTGAATTCAGTAATGTACAGTACTGTGCTACAAAGCACACAAAAAAAGCTTCACAGTAAGTGTCCACAGCCCTGTCTGCGACTGTGATCTCGAGTACAGAAAGCCACGACCATGTGTCAGAGCGCCGGAGATGGCTGTGGTCGTGTTTGTCACCTGATGCAGAGTTCCCGAACGGAGGCAAAATTTGTGAACCGAGGTACCACTGTACGCTGATGCAAGTTCAGCAACCATTTTCAGTGCCAAGCTGAAACAAATGTACAGCTACCATTTACAGTGTATGCTTTCAATTCATATAATGAGTGCTAATGGCATTGCCTGCATATGAAAACTTGAGATGTCACACTGGAAAAATATAATTTAGGCTTGGATAGTAGTAATAAAATCACTAAAAAAACTAAAAATACTGTAATTCCTTGTGTAACATGTAATTAAAGGGATGTCCCTAGCAAAATCGCTGCCTGAAGTGGGGTGAGGGGGGTGCTGGTGGTCACGTTCTGAGGGGATGGGGTTGGTAGGGTTCTGGTGCAGTGCCCAGCTCTGGCCAGAATCCCACCTAGCTTAATTATGTCACTGGTAGCCTGTCCAGTGTCCGGTGTCCTGCCCAGCAAATAGCAAGCAGTGGCCTCACTGGCATCAGTTGCCAGGATCTCTGTGGAAAGCTCTGGCCAGCATCCCGCTCAGCTCCTGGCAACCCATGAGCATCCCAGGTTGCTAAGAGTTGGGAGGGGACATGTGTATGGCCCTTACACATCTCCCACCTAGCTCTTAGCAACATTCTGGCTGCTGTCCTGCCCAACTCCTCGCAACCAGTGACATCACTGGTTGACAGGAGCTGAGTGGAACACTGTGGCTGGCATCCACTCAGCTCCTGGCAACCATTGAGCTTTCCAGGTTGCTGAGAGCTGTGAGGGGAGATGTGTGTTGCCCTTACACATCTCCCCACCCTGCTCTTATGCCCTAGCCAGAAACCACGTGACCCCCAGTCTCAAGCTGCCTCATAATAGGGATGGCCCTGTGTACTGACATATAAAAATTTAATTTGTCTAAATCTTGTTTTAGTCTAAAAGTAAATTTGAAAACATTTCAAAGCTCCATTAGCTAGTCGATAAGCCTCATACATTAACTTGATTATAGAATACCTAATAATATAACTGTATTTTTAGTCTCAAACCCCAATAATAAACACCACACACACACACACCCCAGTTGATTAATAAAACAGAACAGCGCTTATTAAAGGACTTTCTTTAAACCTCCAGAACATTCTGGTCATGTAGCTATTCTCGTCCCCTGTTTCATTTATGCAATCTTTTACAGTGACACACCAATATAAGGAAGATTTAATAACAAGGAGCTGCCCAGTACACAAGCTGTAATTAAGACAATTAGGCGTATTAAAGAATTTGTGTATAGAGCAGGATCTTGCAAAATAATTGGACTGATTTCTTGTTGACGTCACCTTGGAGTATGTGCATATATATCTCTGTATTGCAAGCTGTATCAGTCATCTGCTTGATCTCCAGCGAGGACAGCCCTCTGCAAGACTTCAGTAGGGACAAGGCGACATACATTAAGGTAATCTCTTAAATATGTTTCCTCTTTTCCCTTTTATTGTATGCAGACATGCCTAGTTATTTTGGCTTTGTTATATTGTGTGAACTGAGAGGTGGAAAAAGACTAGAACTGGCTTTATTATAGAGCTTCTGTATGAGTGCTTCTCTTGTATCCAAGCATATTAGTACTGAGTTGTGTTCACCACTCTGTGAATGTAATAAGCATTGATTCCAAGAGGATCCCTATTCATTCTTACAGTTATGAATGTTTTAGTACAGATGGAGGAAGCTACAGAATGTGAACGGAGCAAAATAGATTCTTATTTTCTGTCGCTAAACCTCTTCATATGTTCTGGTAGATGTGTTCCTTATATGGCTCAGGGACACTGTGATGGACAATGAGTGCCTTGCATTCAGTTCTGAGATGTTAGTACAAGATATAGCTTTGTGGAGCAAAAGCTGTCATACAATGAACTCATTATGGCTCCAAGTGGGCATGCACTGTTGTAGTATATCTTAGTGTAATCTAAATATTATACTTACTTAAAGGAGAACTATGACATGAGTGATTTCCACTCACCTCATAGTTCTAAGCCGACCTGTGACAATGAGACTGTCACAGGTCGGCTCAGTAGATCGGGAGGTGAGAGAACACATACCTGGTTCCCTCACCTCTCGATCCTGTCAAGGCTCTCTGCCGTGACAGGGGGAGGGGCTGGATTCCCCTCTCCCCGCTCCGATCTGCCAGCGCTGACTGGCGGAACGGACGGGGGAGGGGGCGGGTACAGCTGGCTCTGCCTCTAGATAGTCA